TAGGGATGCAGGGTCCCAAAAGGACGCCGGCTTTATACCTCCATTTTTTACAGGTCTGTAATGTCTAGTAGCTTCTAACATATTTGTTGACTTATGATCTGCCATAAAAAAAAAATCATGAGGTTTCATGACTTTTTATTTTTAAGCCCGAAGTTCTGGAATCCTGGAGTCCTTGTCGCCATTATACTTAAAGACTCCGGGTTAAAAAAATGATTGTTCCTCATACCTAAAAGTTTTTTTTACTTTTATAAGTCCATAAACTTTTTTTATATTTTTAGAGCTTCTGGATACCAAAAATTAGGAAGAAGTAATCTTTTTGTGACTTTTAAATCCGGAGTCCTTTTTGGGGCTCCGCATCCCTGGTATAAAACATACCATATGTGAAATGTGCTGTTAAAAACATTAGTTTTTCGAAGTTTATCAAGTTGTGACTGTGCATATTGAAGTTGGTTTAACACACTAAAATAAAATGAATTAAAATTTTTGAAACAATTTTGTTTTTTAATTCAAATAAAATTTTGATTAACATATAATTATTTATCTATTTTAAAATAAAAAAATTTACATTATGAAAGAAAAATTATAAACCAAAATAATTATATAAAATAATTTGAATGAAAAAAAATAAAACTTTTTTATAAAACTTCAAGCTTCATTCCGCAATCATTTAACATCATTATTTAAAAAGCACAGAAAAATACCAATTCTACATTGCAACAAGTCAGTTTTTAAGTCAAACAAGAACTGGACTAACCAATATCAAAATGGGAAAGTAAAAATTTCTTTATATGTCTACATGAGAAAACTATTTGACCTTTTTTTGTTTAACAAGATTTCTTGATTAAATGTCATTACAAAATATTTTCATTTAAGCACCTGCTTTCTTAAGAAACTAGGCTTATTCAAAAAGTTCAGTGTAGTTTGACAAATTAAAAAGATTTTATGTGGCTCCCATACCAGAGCTTGAACAAATTTTTGCTAATACTAATGTAAAACTTTTCTGTATGATTGGCTTTAGGTAAGAGTAGCTTTATAAACAATACTTTTAATTAGTTATTGATTTCCTAATGGACATGTAGTTTTATTATTTCTTTCCAGACTGAATATATACAAATAGGCTATATGTCAAAACATAAAACAATTACTACAAAATATGAGGTATGAAAATATGTTAAGAATTAAAAAATGAGGATTTGTTTATTAATTTTTTTAAGAATCACAATGTAAAGAAAAAAAAAGTACTTGATCTAGGGGAAAAATATACTCTTTTGAAAATATTTTTTGACCAAAACTCTGGCATTACCAAAAATTTGACTTTAACTATAAATTACAAATAGGAATTTACAGTTAACAGACAGTTTTTTACTTGCAGAAGGTAAACACATATTTTTATGATCAACATTAAAAAAAAGGTCTGAAAACTAAGTAAAAAGGTATTTAAGTTTTAGTATAGTGATCTAAAAATAAAATTTTTTAGATGTCTCTGTAGAGTTTTCAAAGTTTCTGTTGAAAAATGAGAAAAGAGTTCATTTTCAATTCAGTGGCCAAATAACAATATTGGTAAGAAATGAGACATGAACTTCCTATGCTATTCCATGGTGGTCTGTGATAAGACTTTGAGGAATGGAAAACTTTAAAAAATTTTAAAAGTTTTTATTTTTATTTGATAGATCGCTTGCCCAAAATAAATCCTCAATCAATGTACCAGCACTCCTCACATATTTATTTATTTGTCAGTTGATGTAGCAGCACTTTTTGCATGTTTTATCTATTTGTCACTTGATGTAGCAACACTTCTTGCATGTTCTATCAATTTGTCAGTCGATGTATGTAAACAGTAAAAAAATAAAAATAAAAACACTCAGAATGTTTTTTGTTGTTTTTGGTGAAAAAAAAAAGATTATGTTCACAAAAATACCTCCAACAAGAAATTGATTTTTTGAAAAAAATATTTGTTGAAAACAACAAGAACAATTTAACTAATATGGCCAGAGACTTTATAAAAATAGATGAAAAAAATATAAACCAACTGACAACCAACCATTTATAAAGCTACCATGGATACCAGTTGTTAGTCCCAAATTTAGAAAAGAATTTTAAAAGCAAAACATAAAAGTTATATTTACATCAACTCCAAATTTAAACAATATATTCTGAAACAATAAAACAAAACTTTATCCAAATACAAACCCAGGCGTCTACCAAATAAAATGTTCATGCAACTTTATATACATTGGTGAAACCAAAAAAAAAATTATATCAAGATGTATTGAGCACCAAAAAAATAGTAAAAAAGTAAAATAGGCCAGTTCAGGTGCTACTGAGCATTCCATATCATACCAAGGTAAATTTCACTGGTTAAACCTGAAAACCTTATCAGTTGCTCCAGAAAATCATATTCAGAAAATTCGAGAATATCTAGAAACAAACAAAGCTAAAGTTAGACAAGAGTTGGGAAGTGGCGAAAATGTTCTTAATAGGGATGATGGTGATAACGTCACAACAAAAGCTTAGGGGCCATTTTTTATTAGATTAGCTGACATCAACATTTAATCTTATTTTGTATTTGCTCATACTCTTTTTAATGTTATCTTTTTAACATTTATTTTTATTGTAACGATTATCTTTGTAATGAATTTTAATTTTATATATATATATATATATATATATATATATATATATATATATATATATATATATATATATATATATATATATATATATATATATATAATTAAAATTCAATAAAAATATTTAATATAAAAGTCAAATAGTTATCCATTCTGAATGGAATGTAAATGCTTAGATAATATGACACCCTTTCTAGGTGAAGATTTCACTGAGAAAGTTACTAAAAATTATTATTTGATGGAAGCATTTTGGACAGTAAAAGAAATTGTCAAAAGGAACAAACGTTTCACAAGTTGATATTCTGTGATGGTGGAAAAAATATGGCTCTATTTTCTGCTTCTAATTTTAGCAGAGTTAGCAAGGAGATGTGCTCTGTGCTCCAGCTGCATCAGGTGATAGTGAGAGTGCAATTAGTGTAGTTGGAACTAATAGTGATAACAGGCCAGGCTTTAAATTCAGTTAGCAAAAGATTTGACCTTGTTTAATAATAATTATGAACTTTTTTATTCTTGTTGGTTCTTTTTGTTCTTTTTGGAAATTACAAGTGATGCTGAAAAAGCTCTTAATTCCGCGGTACCAAAACTAGTGAAAACATCTTCCAAAAACACCAAACCCAAATTAGTTTCTTCAACAATACAAACAAAGTTATCTTTTGAAACAATACACAGTTTATCTACACTAACAGACTTCCAAACCACCATCATCACAACCACCAAGAAAACCAAAAAAAAAAGAGAAGATATTTCAAAAGTTGACAATGTACTTTTATCATTACCAGATTCATATGGAACTTTAGCCAAAAATAAAAATGCTTCCAAAATGAAAACTTAAAGTATCCATTTAAAAATGGCAGAAAAAAGTCAAAATTGAACTTTGAGTCAATTAGAGACATGTTTAAAATTACTGTTGTGCAGATTTAGACTGCTGATATTTAATAATACTTAATATTTAATGATATTTAATATTTTAATATAATATTTCAAATAACTATATATTTTTTTAAAGTAATAATTTTTTTTTACAAATAATGGCTATTATAATAATAATTAAACCATTTAACAGAGATATGTATATTAGGGTGAGTGAATTTCCCAATTTTAAAAAATCAAGTTGTTCCTAGCTGGAATAGTTGACCACCAGTATAAAAATAATTTTACACCCAAATATGCTGATGTCAGATGATTTTAAAAGTCTCTGCCAGCCCATTTTGTGTATAAAAACATATTAAACTTCAGAGGTCTTGCAAAAGATCTTTAAAGTTTGATATGTTTAATTTGTTTTTTAAGTATGATATAAAGCCAACTTTTCTTCTATACAGTACATTTTGGACTAGTTATTAATAGCAGGGTTCAGAATCAGATATGGGTAGGATCAGATCAGGGTAGGATTAGATCAGGGTAGGATCAAATCAGGGTAGGATCAGATCAGATCAGAGTTTCAGGATCAGAAAGAAATATGATGGTTTTTATTTAACAAGATCTGCAGAAAATTGCAGAAGTTAAAAAATCAGATATTTGTGATAAAAATTTACTTAAATTTATGTTTAATTGATGCTGATTTGTTCCTAATATTTAAGCCAAATTCTGAAAATTAATAATAGACTTAAGTATTATTAGGCCTTAATTTGGGTGGGGGTGTATGACCCCCCACCTATTTGGGTAAGCAATGCCTCTCCTTTTGGAGAGAGGAGGCAATTTCCCTTTGGTGGTGGTGGTTAATACTAAAATTTTCGGAAGATCAACAAGACTTACAACAAAAGCATATCTTTTTGAAGATCTTGAAAAGAATCTACCAGATATATATGTTTTCAACAAATGCAGATATTATTATACATTTTCAGTTTAGAAGATGTGGTGACAAAATCACTTTAATAAAAAAGCTGATTGCTTGTACCATTGGACATCAAACAGTAAAGTGTTCTGATCTTGATAGCTGTTTTGAAAACTGATTTCTATTTCTAGTTAAGAAATCTTGGACAGACAAAGGATACAAGGATAAGATACTTACCCATTTATAAGGTAAGCCAAACAAAAATACATTCATATTAAAAGAATGGGTCACCATTTTTCAAGTGGAGTTTTCAAGTGGTCACCATTTTTCAAGTGAACAGATAGACGTTGGAAAGATACACCTGGTACTTAGATGGAAAGACACACCTGGTACTTAGATGAAACCTTCGTTCAACTTGCTCTCCTAGAACCTGACTTTCCTGATGTGGAGAGAGAAAACATGGCAAAAACATTACTCTCCAAACCAGTTCCAGATTAATCTTAGCATTCAAACTTGTTAAAAGAGTTGAACTTCAAACAAGAAAAACCACCAAGACTTGTTCCATTGATTGGTGAGAACTCTTGGTTCATTTTCAGTTTATTTAATCTGACTAGAATGGAGGACAAACTAAAGCTAAACTGTCCTGTTTCTCTGTGGTACCATGTTGATCAGTTCAAAACATTCTCCAACTTTGTCAGTAAACTAGAAGTGATGAACAATATTTCTGAAAGTGCTGTAAACCTTATATTAGAGTTTGTGAACGATGTTCACAATGAGGATGATCAACAAGAACTTCTAGTTGCGCAGTAAAAACAAGACCAGCTCTGTGGGTCAGAATTCAAGTAAAAACAAGACCAGCTCTGTGGGTCAGAATTCAAGGAACAGTTGCAGCTAGCCTATGAAGCGATAGTCAAGCAGAGAAAAAAATAACATGTAAATGTTATCATGATTTCAATATTTATATTGCCATGTAATGCACTATTTTTCTAAAGAAAATAAAGTGATTTCAAATAATCAGGTTGATTAAGCACACATTAATTTATTCTATCAATAAATTTTTTCAAACAATAACAAAATATTTCAACTCCTAATTGTTTTTCAATTGAGACAAGTAATTGCACTACAAAGATAAACTAGTATTTTAACTTGAGTTCACTGCATTATGCAGGTTTCTCAATTTTTTAAAATTAGGTGGGATCTTTTTCATACACCCAAACACACCTTCCATGACTAGTTTTGAAATACCTACCAGCATCCTTATTCATACCAAAACTTTGAGTGTCAAAATATTTTCTATGATATAGTTTTTGTAAAAGAGCTATTAAGGAATCTCTAGAGATTTCCTTATAGCTCTTTTATAAAAATTACACTTTGATTTAAGCTACATTACATTTTTACAATTGATATTGTCTTTGCAAAACGTTCAGCCTGAGTACTACTTATTCTCTAGTGTTATGTTGATGATAGCCATGCACATTTTGATAATATCGATGATGCTTCTGATTTCTTAATCTTTTTAAACTCAATTGATCCAAATACACAATGGAAATTAAAAACTGCAAAATGAGTTGTATATTTTGAATATTACTTTACCAAATTATAATAAAACAAACGTACAAATTAAATCATCACCAAACGTATAGAAAGAATAATTCAGCTACCAAACCAGTATGTATAGAAAGAATAATTCACCTACCAAACCAGTATGTATAGAAACAATTGTTCTATAGACAACAACTATAGATGCACAAGTTGTTGTGACTGAAAAATGTTGTGTTCATACTAAAAATATTTTTTTCAAATTAAAAATTTATTAAAAGTTTTAAAGTTTTTAATACCATTTAAATCATTTTAATATACTAAAAATAGCGTTACAATAAGATTGTTTCAAACAATATTAAAATAAAAAAAAAATATTCAAGAGAAACACAGAAAGAAAAAAAGAATTGAATATTTTAATTTTGTTTCTAATACACAAACTTGTCACCTGTTTTGTTCATCTTCAAAGTTAAGTAAATTTTGCTGGTGTATGGAGTATTCTTTCCAATATTTATTCTCTTCTTTTGTTAATCTTTCTTTTTCTTCTAACATCTCTGAAGTAAGCAAAATTAAAAATTTCAGATGAAATTATCTATTAAACTTCCCTAATAGTTTTTTAATAAAAAATACTCTTAAAAGTATTCAACAAGTGATTAGCATTAACCCACATTATTTCCTGCCTACTGGAAAATGACACATGTGGTTCCAATTTTTACAAACTCTGGAGAAAACTCAGACCCCTTATAACTTATTATTATATTATTAGCAAGATTTTTGAGTTTTTCATTAACAAATTTCTAATATCTCACCATAAGTTTAATAACTCTCTGCCAATCAATACAGATTTTGATTCTTTCATTCTGCAGCTGACTTGTTAACTGTTATAAGAAGGTTCTATCATAAATTAAATGGCGGCTAATGCTTTTGATATATTAAAGGCTTTTGATAAGGTATAGGATACTGGTCTTCTCTATAAGTTTGCTACAAATGTTATCTGGGAAAGTTTTTTGAGATAATTAAATCACTCCTATATAACCACAGTATTTCAGTGTCCTTGAAGACCAACACTTTTATTTATTTCCAGTAACTTGTAGGGTGCCACAAGGTTCTATTCTTGATCCTGTATTATTTTTCATCTATATTAATGATCTTCTTGGCAACCTTACATATAAAGTAGGTCTATTTGCAGACAACAACTATATATTCCTGTAAAAAATTAATCATTCTTTGATTGCTTAAAACGGAAAACTATTACAAAAAAAGATATCAGATTCAAGATCAGCATCTTGAATCTTTTTCTTCTGTAACAGCTAGATAGAGAGAAGCTGTAAGAGTAACTGCAGCGGCTTTCAAATTTTGTTAATTCGTGAACACCAATATAACTCAGTCCAAACAATTATGGCAAAACTGGTGATGTTCCTATATTAATGGTCTCTCACAGTGGTTGCATTTCATTGCTCACCATTTCCCTACTCCCAATTTTATCCATCCCTGTATAGAATGCAGATTCTATACAGATATTGCTACGATCAGAACTACAATGTATTGAAAGACATAGCTAGGAAGGATTGAAATCCCAGGGTTCTTACTAAATAAAAAATTTGAATTTAGATTTGAATTTTTTTTATTTTTCATGACTTTTACTTTATGATTAGCAACTTTATTAAGACTTAAAAAGAAAGTTACAAATTGCAAAAGTACATAGGTCAAAGCTACTCCCATATTAGTGATTTTAACATCTTTAGAAAAATAAATGCAAATTACAACAGTCCAGTGTTTCACAGGAAGACGTGCGATTACACACAATTATATGACCACACTTTGTTTTAATGATTAGACCATGAATTTAGAACATTTTTTCTCCTTTTTGTCAAGGTAGTCAAGTCGAGAGCTTTTAGATAATTCTCATAGTTGATTTTTTTAAGTGATGGTATTAACCCAGTTGCACGATGTTGGACTCTTTCTGATAACTCAATTTCTCCCTTAGGTGAATAGGTGACCAAAATTGTACTGCAAACTCTAACAGTGGTCGCACAAAAGAAATATAAAGTATTCTCAGCAGTCTAATATCTAAACAAAGCATTTTCTAATCCGACCCAACATTTGGTTGTCTTTGCCTACGCATTTTATTACAGGGGTGGGACCGCAAAATGTGAACGTTTTTGTTTTATTATAACTATTTTCTCGTTAGATGTAGTTGAGTTTATTTGATAAAAAACGAAAGACAAAGTACTAATGAATATGTAAACAAAGTCGCAACACTTATAAACATGCCGTCTTCAAAATATAAATTAATTCCAAAAAGCCGTATAATTTCAATGATCATGGATAAAATTAGTTACAGACGAATCAAAACCATATTAAACAAAGAAGGAATCGATGTATCAATTGGTTATATAAGTAAGTTAAAGAATGAGATTACTTTAGACCACCAAAAAATTGCAAATGATCAAATAAAGAAGAAACGCCACGTGCCGCCATTAAAGCTCTCAAGTACTCAAATTCAAAAACTCAAAAGATTGGTTTTAAAAGACTCATGCCCATTAATTTCACATCTTGCACGATTGTTTGGTGTGTGCAGAAGAACAATTAACAACTATATCAAAAAAAGATTCAAATTACACAAATTCAAAAAGCAAAAAGTTCATGATTTGTCTCCGGCTGCTAAAGAAAAGAGGTTTCAAAGATCTGCTCGTTTATCAAATTTTATAAAGAGAAATTGGCGAAAAATAATAACAACAGACGAGAAACTATTCCACATTTCAAATTGTAATCAAGAAAATGATTATTATTATAGTAGAGATAGAAAAAACATTCACAAAAAGTTTAAAACAAGACCTAAAAGTTTTTCGAAGGCAATAATGGTATGGGTCGGAATTTGTTATAATGGAACCACAAAACTTAAATTTGTTAAACAAGGTGTTAAAATTAATGCAGATTGTTATATTGATAACATTTTAAAACCATTTTTCAGTGAAGATTGCAAGCGTTTATATCCTAAAAAAGATTTCATATTCCAACAAGACTCGGCGCCGAGCCATACATCTAAAAAGACAATTTCATTTTTAAACAACAATAGAATCAAATTCATTCCACCTGAAATGTGGACACCATTTAGTCCAGATAACGCTCCAATGGACTTTTGTATTTGGGGATATATGCTTGAAAAGTTAAAAGATCGAAAAGTAAAGACAATCGACGGCTTGAAACGCCACATTATTGACATATGGAAGAACATCCCTCTCTCACTCATCAGAAAGTGTCTAAAGAGTTGGTCTAAACGTTGTAAAATGATCTACGAGAATCAAGGAGATCAAATTGAACATTTAAAATAGTTCATATTTAACAGAAAATTAATTATTACAATCAGAAAAGTGTTCACATTTTGCGGTCCCACCCCTGTACATGATTTTTCCATTTCAGATTACTTGAGAAGATTACTCCAAGATCTCTTTCAGATTCTGTTATGTTTAATTTTTGTTCATTGATATAAAGAGGTGATTTCTTGTTATTTCGACCAAAGTGCATGACTGTACATTTTGAAATATCAAATTTCACAAGCTAAATCAAGATCTGATTGCAAAGAAAGAGTTGATGCACTGGAAAAAATTTCATTAAAAATTTTGGTGTCATCTGCATACAGCTTGGTTAAATTTTTTAGAGTTTCAGGCAAATCGTTTAGAAATAGTACAAACAAGAGTGGTCCAATTACTAACCCTTGAGGCACACCACTGGTAACTTCTGCCCAAGAGGATACATTTTCGCCTATCACAACTCTTTGTTTTCTTTCTTTTAAAAATGCTTCAATCCATTGTATTGTTAGACCAGATATTCCATAAGCAGTAAGTTTAACCAACAATCTTTTATGTTACATTGTGTCAAATGGCAAAATCCAAAAACATAACATCAACAGGTTTACTATTCTCTAAGGCTGTTGAAACAAATCAAATGTTTCAAGTAGATTCGTTAAGCATGATTTATATTTTTAACAAAACTGTGCTGTTGCTCGACTATTAGTTTGAACTTATATAGAAAAATTTCAAGTTTACATCTGATTATACCTTCCATTATTTTACATGCAATTGAGGTGAGTAATACCAGTCGGTAGTTTCCTGCTAAGGTTTTTTCGCCTTTTTTGTACAGAGGAGTGATATTTGCTGATCTAAATTGCACTGGCAGTTTGCTGGTTTCAAATGACTCTTTAAAATGTATATGTAAACGGAATGGCAAAGTCTGATGCACAATTCTTTAAAATAGCTGAATGTAAATTATCAACACCACTTGATTTATTATCTTTTAAGTTTTTTAATCTTAGATAGACATCTTCATATGTAAAATCTTCATTTATCATAATGAATGTTTTAGTAGTTCTTAAATCAAAAAAAAAGCAATAGACCATCATATTATTTCACAAATGCAGCTTGAAAGTTTTTGTTTAAGATATCAGCAATATCTTTTGAATTTTGAGTGACTTTACAATTTGCTCTCTGTGATGCTTTTATAGTATCTTTACTTGATACTTCATGTATCTGTAGAGAAACTTTGGATGGTTCTTTTTACTCAAAACTTTTAAGCTCAAAGTTTTGCCTCACTTTTTTAATCTGGTCTGTTACATTTTTGCAAATCATTTTTTATTTAGATTTCAAAACAGGGTCTTTGCATTTACATGAGCAGTTTTTATATCTTAAATTTTGTTTGCTTCTAACAAGAATCTTTAAACTAGCATCAACCCAGGCTGGTCTAATTTTTAAAGAGTTTAATGTCTTTTTAATTGGAGTGAAATGATTACATGCCATCTCAGTATAAAAAAATCATTTCATCAAACATTTCTTGTATATTTTTGTTACTAAAGCATTGTATCCAGTCAACATTTGAAATTAGATCAGATATTCGTTCAAAATTGGAATTAGCAAACATAAATCTTTGCTTGCTTTTATTGCCACGGATTGCTTTATCAAACAAGATTAAACTGAAATACTTTTACTTTTAATGATTATTTAAAATTACTCACACTTAATTTAAATTATAACGTTTTTTTTTTTACAAAATTAAATATATCAGTTTCCATGTAAATGTAAACAAGTTAATAATTCTGCATTAAAAATGGGTAATTAATGCGTAAATACTAAAGCCATTTGATTCTTTGTTTTTTTTTTGTACTTTTTTTTAACTTTTTATTTTGATTTAAAAGAACATTTATCATAAAAAATACATAATCATATAAATAAAAAAAACAACAACTTATTAATACTTAATATAAATATTCATTTGAAGTGTTTTATTACTTCATTTAAAAGTTTATCATCATTTAAACATTTATCATAAAAAATACATAATCATATAAATAAAAAAAACAACAACTTATTAATACTTAATATAAATATTCATTTGAAGTGTTTTATTACTTCATTTAAAAGTTTCGATAATACAAAAGAACTAAAGATCAAATTTATTTAATTATAACGGTTTTCAAAAATATTTGACTATTTTTTTAAAGAAATTTAATCTTTTTAAATTTAATAACATATATTAAAATTCTTTTTAAATGTATTACTTTTATATTAGGATTCATTCAAATGCATACTTAAATAATTTATATAATATAAATTGAAAAAATTATCTACAACTCTCAATTATACTTTTTTTAAAATCATTATTAGTAAATTGTTACTTTATTTAAAAGCGTTTTGCTAATATAAAAACATTTAAGAAGTTTTGATGTAATTTATTTCACCTGTGGTATAATTCACAATATTTTTCATTTAGCACATTTTTAAAATGTTTTTTGAAATAGCCGTGGTCAAATTGTCAAAACAAAATGTGATTTGCCTGGTCATATAATGAAGTGCAATCACATGTCTTCCTGTGAAACACTGACATTCTAATTTTTTTCTTGATCAAGGAATTTTTATCAAAACCATTTTACTTTAACAAAAACATTTTAAGGGATTTTTCTAATTATTTTTTCAAAAGAAAAAAAAAAAAAAGTGAACTGAACATATAAACCAAAAACTCATATATATATATATATATATATATATATATATATATATATATATATATATATATATATATATATATATATATATATATATATATATATATAATCACAGTAAATAGACCAAAAATTCACAACCTCTTTTACAAGTAAATAAACAAAATACAAGCAATATTTAAAAATAATATAAACAATAATAATGATACTCAAAATGGTTAAATAAAAAATAGTAGCTATAAACAAGAAATACCAAATATTTTTAAACTACTAAAATCTAGCACTATTTAGGACTTTTCAGGACCATTTTTAAACTGCAAAAACTTCTAGGACTCAGGGTATCAGAGCTATAATGAATTGATTGAAAAGAATTTAATTAAGAGACAGAGCTACAATGAATTTAGAATTATTTATTGCTTTGCTGAACTTTCAACATAATGCAATTTTAGTTAAACTTTTTCTCAAAACTTCACTTTTTTCATTTTAACGCTTACTCAAAACAAGTGCACCATGTATTACAACTATCACCATCAACTGACATGTATTACAACTATCACCATCAACTGACATGTATTACAACTATCACCATCAACTGACATGTATTACAACTATCACCATCAACTGACTTGTTAATAAGTATTATGAAGAAAATTGATTTAAATTTTTTTTTTCTAAGAACTTTTAAAATATTTCACTTTTAAATACTTACTATGTTTTAACTATTAGTTATAATATTTATGCAATTAAAAATAACTAATTAAAAAATAAAATAAAAACCTTTCTCATCATCTTCAAGTTTTTTGTGCTCTTTTTCAATGTTTGCCAGCTCTTCCATTAACTCTTTTTCTTCTAATCTCAAAAGCCTTAGTTCTTCATCTAAAACATTTCTAAATGTAGTTATTTATTACATATGGAATTACTTATAAAAGTCTTTAAAGGAATCACATATATCATATTTAGAAAAAAACTCTCTTCTAAAAAGTTTTTACAAAAACTGTAACAAATGTCATACTTTACTGCAATACTTTTAATTTTACTTCACAGTTTTTAATTTTACTTCACAGCCTTGACACTTTGAACATAATATAATAATGTATTTATCTTTATTTACTTACCTTTAATAGCTATTTATATTTATTATCTTTAATTGTTTTGATATATAACTCAAATGTAAAAAATTTTAAGTTATTAATTTCTAAAAGTTTTGCATTTTGCAGATTTTATAGGTTTTACAACACCTTTTAAAACATTTTCATATTCTAAAATCTGAAAATACTTATAATGAAATACTTATAAATTCTATTTTACTTTACATTATTTTATATTTTTCCCAAAGGCCTAAAGGTATTTACCTAAATCTGGATCCTCCCGATTGCCCCTGGATCCAAGATATTTCCCGAAATCTAAAGGTTATTACCTAAATCTGGATCCTCATCTTCACCTTGAGATTGCAAAGTCAATAGTAAATCTTGATAACTCTCTAATTCATTTTCAGCTATATGAAGCTGAACATCTAGTTTGTTTAACAAGCTGTCAGTACACTCTTCACATAGAGGGTGATCTATATCTGTGTTTCCTGACATAATATCAAAGAGTTGAGCAGAAATCTAATGATTAAGTGATGATGAATATAAGTTGATGAAAATAAACAAAACACGAGCTTAATTCTATGACTAAAATTACAGGCTTGATCAATTTCCTAAATACAACAAAAGTATAAAAAGTAAAAATACAACCTTTATTCTGTGACTAAAATTATCAGCTTTAGCTCCACTAGCTGCTTCACCAATAAGAGCAAAACCATTACCAGCCCCTGATGATGTTCTTAAAACAAATATTTAGTAAAGTAATTACTCATATGAAACAGAACTTTAAATTTCATGGTGGAGAAAAAAAAAAAATGCTAAAGCAGGTAAAAAATGAAGTTTTCAAAAATAGTTTATTGATGAATTGGCAGTATTTATTTTAACTTTAAGGTAAACATAATAAAATAATCATCTACTTTAAGGTAAACATAATGAAATAATCATCTACTTAAAGGTGAACATAATGAAATAATCATCTACTTAAACGTGAACTTAATAAAATAATCATCTAATTAAAGGTGAACATAAAACTATAACTATTTATACATCGAATTCAAAAAATTGTTTTGTTTAATTAGATAAATTAAATTTTAATAATAAAAAACCCTCATGAAATTTTGAATTCTTTAGAAAGCTATTCAGTGATGGTCAAGCTATAGAAGAAAAAAAACCTTTTTGATTATATGACAGTAAAATCATTTAACAAGTAGTAAAATAAGGTTTAAACATTTGAAATAATAAACAATAACTGTGGCAGCAAATAAAATAAAAAAAAGTAAGACAATAGACAGTTCTTTTGCCAATTCAAATGAAAACTAGATTTGAAGATTAAAGTGATTATGTTCTTAAATGACAATCCTTAAGTAATTATTATGATAAAGTTAGTTTAGAATAAAATTCCATTTAATGTTATGGGATATGCTAGAAAGGAAAATTTATCACTTAACAGTCTAGTAGAACATTATAACATTTTCTAACATTCTAGTAAAACATTATATCATTTTCTAACATTCTAGTAGAACATTATAACATTTTCTAACAGTCTAGTAGAACATTATAACATTTTCTAACAGTCTAGTAGAATATTATAACAGTCTAGTAGAACATTTTAAAACAATTCAGATGAAAATATCAATTTAAAATTAAATCAGATGCAAATCAAAAGCTCTTGAGCATCAAAATCTTTCCATTCAAAAACTACAGTCATATTTTACAATTATAAATTTGTACACAATTTATGATGTTTTAAAACTCTAACATTGATTATCCTATAAAAAAAAAAAAAGTCAAATTTTAAACTCTACTTTGATTGAATGATCTGTCGAATAACATCAGAAAACTTCATGATATCTTCCATACCCTATTTTAAAACATAAGTAGTTTGAGGTGAGTTATTTTCATTTATTTAAAATTAAAATATATTAAACTTATATTTTATATTGTATATATACATATATATATATATATATATATATATATATATATATATATATATATATATATATATATATATATATATATATATATATATATATATATATATATATATATATATATATATATATATATATATATATATATATATATATATATATATATATATATATATATATATATATATATATAAATATTAGGGGTAGTCAATTTGAGGAAATTTTCAAATCTAAAATACCATACACTCTAGATTTGGGGCAAATATTAAAAAAACAACTCCCAAAAAATTTGAGCTCAACAGGACCACTTTATCCTTACCCACTAAGCACTTTTTTAGAAAAAAAATTCTCAACAACCTTCAAAAATTGCTGATTTCACAGGTCCAGGGGTGAAGTTTAATTACAAAAATTTGAAATTTTTTTTTTGGGTTGCTCATTTTTACCTATATATTTGAGTAAAAATATATGGTATCATAGTATTGTTCAAAAAATATTTTTATTTTTGTATTTTGAATTGAAAAAATTACAATATTTGATGATAGTTTCATGTTATTGGATTGTTCATTTTCACCACTTTTCTTCCTTTTATTTAGAGAAGATAAGCTTTCAATAAATTTACTTTTAGAAAGTTTGTTTGAACGTCTTCCAGGTGTTCTGAAAGCACACCAAACTTTTTCAACAGTTAGCAATGTATTCTGTTTATCTTCCTCATTGTCGTATCTGTGAATAAATTGCTGCATCATTCCAACAGATCTTTCTGAATGATCATTTACTACAATTAAAGATTTGGCAAAATTCTGAAAGTTTTTAAAAACAGATTGGGTAAACCAATACTCAGGGGGAAGCGAAAGCCAATATTTTATCCTTTGTTCCTCTAATCCAATTATATCAAAAATAAGATATGAAAATTCGTCAACCAACAGAGCAAGGGAAGAAGGATTTTCACTAATTTTGTTTCCCATTTTTGTTTTATCTTCTATATCTATTTTTGATTTGTTTTTAGTATTGTACCAAGTTGAAGTTGGCATTTTAAAAGTTAGAATTACTTTTGCAAGGTTCGCTTTCTCCTCAAATGACAAATCATCATCCAACAGAGCAAGGGGAATAATTGTTGAATCTAAATACCAACTAAGTCTGTATAGAGAGTTTAAAACTGCATCGACAGCATCTGGTTTGGCACAAAGTTTTCGGTACTGTTGCATTTGGTGTATTGCTTTTATATCTAGAAAAGGAGCGTTAATAGCGTCATTAGCCTGTAAATACCATTTGGCATAAAAGCAAACTATAAATTCACTTATTAGTCTGATTTCTGTCTTGAGTTTATTGTTCTGATTTACGAACTCAATTTGGCTGGATAGAAGCTGTAGCTTTAGGTAGTAAAGTGCTTTGGAAAGGAACCTAGCATGATGAACTGCTCCGGGTTTTCTAAGTGTTACTGAAGACTGAGAAAGGTAACTCACAACAAGTTCTGCAAGCTCATTTCTATCTTCTCTGATAAAATCTTTATTTTCTTTGCCTTTTGTAATGTATTCTTGACAAAAGTTCAAAGACTCTTGTGCAGCTTTCTCAAGAAAGGTTCCCCTTACTGCTTTCCAATCAAACTTTATAAGTTCTGTTTGATTGTAATTAAAATGAGGACAATCAAAAACAGTTTTTAATTTTTTAAACATAGAATTATCTGGTCCTGTGGAATGTTCATCTGAAACTGAATTACAAAAATGAACCATTCTTAATTCACATACATGATGTCTGCATGCAATAAGTAAAAGATATTTGCTTATATTGTTGGATATTCTTATTAAAGAACCTTTCTTTAACCCAGTGTTACTTGCAGTAGTATCAAAACATATTCCTCCTATTTTGGATTCAAGGTTGTACTCCTTAAGAATGTCTATTACACCATTGCACTGATCTTCACCAGAGGATGGTGAAGATCAGTGCAATGATCTAAATTGAATAAAGATGAATAAAGTTACTCCAAGCAGGTGTGTCTCACCTTCAATATTAACAAGTACAGCCAGTCTATCGGTTTTAATTATTTTTCCTTTGTTTAGTTCAACTAATGTTTTGCCATCAAAATGTACTATGCATGGGTATGGAGATTCATTCATTGCTTGTTGAACATCTTCTTTTGAAATCATGCATATATTACGATTGGCATATTTCATTTTTCTAGCTGCTGTAGACTGGCTACATTTGAAATCTGTCAGATCAACTCCTGATTGAGTTAGAATTGCACCTGTAACTTTATGCAAAACATTTGGAGAAATATCACTGATTGTAGCCATAAGGGCTACATTACCAGCAAAAATATCTATGGGAATTTCAGCAGTGACCTTTTGTTGAAAAGGTTTTCTTTCAAACCACTCTCCAGGGATAAAATCAGAATCACGCCAGGAGTCCTCACTAGTATCTGTATCAATCTCAACATTAGTTGTACCCTCTACTTCTTTATATTGTTGTTTCACACGCTGCTTTCTCTTTCTGCTACTCACTGTTGCCTAAAAATGTCAAAAGAATTTAATAATTAATAATTTAATTTAAATATATGAGAAATTGAAATTGTGAGTGAACATTGCTATTTAGCTGTTTTTATTTTAAATCTTATTAAGTGGCTTTCAAATTGTAAGTAAGTTATTTAGAAAGCCTTGAAAACTTTTTTTTTTTTTCGGTTTCAAAGGAATGCATACTTTTTTTCTGTACTTTTTATCTTCTGATCCAAGCATAAATCTTCTTTCCCCTTCTTGGTCCTCCAGAAACTCCAAATCCTCAAGCTTGTCTGATTAAGATCTTTTTTACCATTTTTAATTGTATTTCTAAGATCAGGAATGCCAGCCCAAAATACTTTGTTCAGGTAAACTTTAAACTCTTGTTGCTTTGCCAAATCAGCAGCGGATCCCCTTTTTTCATGCTTCTTAAGTTGTGAATATACATTGTCCAGATTTGAAAGATTTTTCACTAAACTTTGATCGTTTAGTATAGAAAATCCAGCTTTAATCCATGGCTCTTTTACCTTGGCCAAAATACATTCACACTTACTTTCTATTGCACATCTTTGAAATTTTTTTTGAAGGGGACAAGCAAGAATAGTGGCTTTTTTTGATGTTTTTGGCAAAAATGATTGTTTTTAAGCTAAGTGCTGCAGTATCTCCATCCCTGTTGGAAGCTGACAGCCTTAATTATAAAAAAGAAAAAAGAAAAAGTTTAGCTAAAGTTTTTAGTTTAAGGGATTCATTATAAAACTAAATATTACCTTTTATTGCTGGTTTTGCTTCTTCGATAATGAATAGGTTTTTTTTAGACTTTAGTGTTCTTTCACTTTTTGTTTTCTGACCACGCTCTTCTTTTTTATACATATTTAAATTAATTAATTTAATTTTTACAAATCTAAAAAATCAAGTTTAAGACGATTGCTGTAAAACATTTTACTAATGCAACAAATAGAACCATTGAATTGTTCTTTGAGCTACTATAGCTGGGTCCCATCAAATTCCCACCTCATAAAAATTACTAAAGTTTATTGTATATTTACATTATTAATTAAAAAAATTAAAAGTATATATTCTTGACAATTAGTTATAATCTTTTGTTAGTAGCATACATGCGATTAGTATATAATTGTATATTGTAATTTTTTCAATTCAAAATACAAAAATTAAATATATTTTTTGAACAATACTATGATACCATATATTTTTACTCAAATATATAGGTAAAAATGAGCAACCCAAAAAAAAAAAAAATTCAAATTTTTGTAATTAAACTTCCCCCCTGGACCTGTGAAATCTGCAATTTTTAAAGGTTTTTGAGAATTTTTTTTCTGAAAAAGTGCTTAGGGGGTACGGATAAAGTGGTCCTGTTGAGCTCAAATTTTTTGGGAGTTGTTTTTTTAATATTTGCCCCAAATCTAGAGTGTATGGTATTTTAGATTTGAAAATTTTCTCAAATTGACTACCCCTAATATATATATATATATATATATATATATATATATATATATATATATATATATATATATATATATATATATATATATATATATATATATACATATATATATATATATATATATATATATATATATATATATATATATATATATATATATATATATATATATAAATATATATATAATATGATATATATATACATATATATATAATATGATATATATATACATATATATACATATATATATATATATATATATATACATATACTTAAAGCAATATGCATACTATTATGATTTTCTTAAAGAACAATTATAACAAAAATATTTTTATCATATTTTAAACTACCTGAATAAACAAAATGTATATAATTTATACATATAATGCATATAATTTATACATTTATACAATATAAAATATATTATAATTTATACATTAAATGCATATAATTTATACATTTATACAATAAAAAATATTTTAAACTTATATTTTATATTGTATATATATATATATATATATATATATATATATATATATATATATATATATATATATATATATATATATATATATATATATATATATATATATATATACAATATAAAATATGATACATATACATATATATATATATATATATATATATATATATATATATATATATATATATATATATATATATATATATATATATATATATATATATACAATATAAAATATGATATATATATATATATATATATATATATATATATATATGTATGTATACATACATACTTCCTACTTTTCATAATAACAATTACATAAAATTCTTGAACTACATTCAAATGATTGCTGTGACTCAATGATACAAAGAGCAATCCCGTAAATTTCTTGAAACCTTTACTAATATCTATAATATTATTAAAAAAAAAAGTATACTGCTGAAACTTATATTTTCTGAGGAAGTAAAGTATATTTATTTTGCCCTAGTAGATAAAGAACGTAGGGAACGTGGTGATATGGCCAAAAAACTGTATAGTTTACAAAGATGTCCAAGTGACAATTTTCCTTTGGAGCGCAAGGTAATGGACCAAGCTATATTAAATAGCCTTAACTTTAGTAAAAACCAGCCTCTTAGTTTAACGCCATTAATAACAAAAAAGCCGTGGCTAGTTTTTAACATGCTTAGGCATAGAAAAGCAAAAACTCAATGGGTGAAGACTCCACCAGCATTTTGGAAATTCAACAATTTTTATCTAGAATTTAGAGCAACAGTAAAGGGACTTGATGTTGTTCTGAAAGGGCAGTTAAGTTAGTTCAAGACCTAATGAATAGATCATATTCTGAGAAAAAAAGGTAGGATATCTTTCTCTTTGCAAATACTTACAAAAAAAAAACAGAAAAGGGAAGAATAAAATAAATTACGAAAAAGCCGCTAGTACAAACACAAATAAAGCCTAGTTTATTATGTACATTTGACTTGAAAGATTACAAATTTTATGAATCAGGAAAGCAAGATGAAGGAAGCGAATTCCAAAGAACAAGACAAATAAGAGTTTTGGGAGCACTTATGAACAGTCACAGAAAAAGGATGAGACTTAATTAAATGTCAAGTAACTCGATTTTATGGCAGAAGAAATGCTATCTTTAGAGCCATGCCTGTTACAGTATATGTAGAAAAGAGAAAGAGAAGCAACATTATGATGATGTGACAATGGTGAAGGTTGGCTGCAAGAGCAGGACCAACTATGTTTAAATGCATTTTTTGCACCTTTTCTCAAAGAGAAAGGGTGCAAAAATCATTCAAAGATCCATTCCAGATAGGGCAACAATATTCCATACATAGGTGAATTTGAGATTTATAGAGATAAAGCATAGAATTCAGAGTAAGAAAGTGGCGAACACAATAAAAAGATGGAAATTTAGTCGATGCTAATTTTGCAATGGATTTGATATATGGTTCATTCTAAAAATCGAGTACATTACCATTAATAAATATAGGAAAATCTAGATAGTTACGATAATGATGAACTGAAAAAATTGAGTTATCTGGGTTAACGTTCCCCAATTGCTGAGAGCCCCATGCTGCAGAAGAAGTGAGATCTTTTTCAAGCTCAAATGCCCCTTCCAAAAAATTAGAGAGTGTTGGCTTCTTATCAAAACCAAATTATTGAAATTAAAATATTTTTCAATAATGTAATCAAAATATGCAACTAGAAAAGATTTTGGTAAATAATGGGGTAGTCGTTAACCTAAATTTGACTACACTTTACCTCTTCAGTGATTTCCCACTCAACTATCTATGAACTATCTATGCTTTTGTTTTTAGATGTAATGTTCAACAGTCCAAAATAGGGTTTAGGAGATTTTTTCATATCATTAGTTTACAAAAAAATTTGACCTTTATACTTTTTTTATCAAACCTCACTAAAATTTTAAAAAAGTCAAATAAAGGTTGTACAAATTCTAAAAATAAAATTTTTTCATCAAAAAAAAACCACCCTAAATAATTTATATATATATATATATATATACATATATATATATATATATATATATATATATATATATATATATATATATATATATATATATATATATATATATTTATATATATATATATATATATGTATATATATTATATATATATATTTATATATATATATATATATATATATATATAAATATATATATATATATATATATATATATATATATATATATATAATATATATATATATATATATATATATATACAAAAAAACAAAATAAAAAGAAAAAATTGTAAACAAAATGTAATATAAATTTACCTTACAATCATTATCAATGGGCTCCTCGCTATTTAAATTTGGAAATGAAGCTGTAAGTAATTAAAAAGTATTCACATCACAAAAGTTAAATAAAATCTATTTACTATGATAAACTGTCTTTTTAAATAAATTTGACATTAATATAAACTATTTACAACCCCTGGTCAAAATATTTAAACACACTACAAGACTAATTAAAATCTTAATTATCAGGTGTTAGGGGGGAGTTGCCTTAATTGTAACAGGGCCTTGATCATAACACATGCATTTATTTTAGAAAAAAAATTAATTATGGCTATATTTTGCATTTTTTTAGTGAAACATCTTATTTTTTATGTTTCAACAGATTTTAAAAGTTATCCCTCAAAAAATGCACGTACACCATTAATTTAATGCTTTTGCATAACTTTTTTAAGTGATCTTATTTCATGTTTACACTATATTTATTGCACTGAGTAAACAATACTGTATAGCTTATACGGTTTTTAGTGTTTAATACGATAAGATTTAAAATACAAATAACAACATAAACTTACCATAAAAGTTGCTGCTAGCATGATATTGCATGATATTGCAGTGATATAACATAATGGTCTGAAGTTTCCTTGATTGGAACTATAACATTTTCCTTACTTAATCAGTAATAAAATCAAAGGGTTAAAGAAATAGATCAGGCACAATAATCAAAGTAGAATCCATGATAAATATTTTTATTTACATTTTATCAATAAGATACATAATCAATATGTGGAGTTACAAATACAACAAAAAATTTGGCATTATACATGAAATTAGTCCATATGTGGTAGTGGTGTATTGGTAGAGCGCTCGCCTCATAAGCGAGAAGTTCTGAGCTTGATCCCCACCATGCCCCTGGTAGTACCATGTTAAACTTGTTTTTCCGTACAGCGGCCTTACTTGTCAAGGTTTGTGTTTTAGAGTTGAGAGAGGGTTGTAACCACAACTACAAAAAGCCTCCTTAACTGTAGCAACCTTCATGGCATTGAGGAGGTAAATTGAAATAGAAGTAAAAAATATATATACATAAGGAACAATTTGTAACAATTAACAGTGAAAATCCAAAATAATTTCATAGCAGCCATGGTGCAGTGATTGGATTTTTTTTCTCAGAATCAAGAGGTCTGAGGATCGATGTCAGCGAACATAGTTGTGAGGACTTTCTAAGTAGAAACTTTAAATTATTAGTTTATTCTTATGTAGACATAAGACACCATTTTTTTCTGTTTTTTTTTTTTTTTTTTTATTAACAATTATGATTTTATACAAAGTTTTGACATTTAAAAGATCTTTCTCTTTTTCAATATATTTATTGACATCTGATTCACAAGTAAATGAGCTGCCTTGTAATTTTAAACAAGCTAAGATAAAATTTCTCTTTGATGCCTAATGTAAAGCTTACAGTTTTTTTTTTTGCTAACCCACTCTGTCTCAGTTGTTTCTGTTGCTGGTTCTGAATGTATTTTAAATTTTTTAACAAATTTTTTAACACATTTCCTAAAATATTTCTAAATTACCTTGTTTTTGTTTTTTAAGGGTTATTCTGAAGCTGATTGCTATTAGTGCCACGTTGACGCTTAAGGTAAATGTTATTTGTAATTGTTTTATAAATAGTAAAAATCTGAATAAAAACATAATTTTTCAGTTTTTCCATTATTGCATCCTTTTCTAAATCCATTATACTTTTTTATTTTCTGTTGAAAAAATATAGCTAAAATTTGCAAAACTATATTTGCAAGAATAATGCAATGATTTTTGATGCATATGTATATATTCATCAAAAAACATGGATGATTGTATCATTCTTGCAAATATAGATTTAAACATGAACTGCTTCTACGACTACTGAGCATGCTATCTTATTGAATGAAAATTTCCAAAAGATAATTTATTGTTGACTTAATTAAAGACAAGTACAAAAACAACCCTTAGTAAAAGGCAACTTTGTATGATATAATTCATCACTGGGAGATTTCTAAAGAAGTTTAGTAATTTTGATTTATTTATTTACTATTGTATTATTTATTTACTAGTTGTTAATTCTTGTTGCAATATTTTTCATTTTAATCGGTATCTAATTTAGTTTACAAAATTTAATAGTAAATTATTTTCTAGCAAAGTAAATCAAAAGTAAATTTTTAAACTTGAAATAAGAGTTGTATTTGTATATATATATATATATATATATATATATATATATATATATATATATATATATATATATATATATATATATATATATATATAATGCGCCATTTAGTAAAAATGTTGCAACAAAGATAGGTAACCTTTTTTTAAAAATAATTGATGCAAGCTTTCCTGTTGGTCATTTATTACACAAGATTTTTGTGTAATAAATGACCATTAAAATTGAAACACCATTAAAATTAGCTACTCATGTATGCTGAACGTTAAATCAGTCATTAATTTGTATAATCAAAATATTTTATACAATCATAAAAAAACAGCAACAAAAACCTGCAACTGCATCAATAAATCTACCTGCATTATGAACAACCAGTGTCTAAGTAAGAACATTATGTATCAAGCTGTTTCATCCAATAAACCAGATTACACAGAAAAAGTTTATACTGGTATTAGCGAGACCCCTTTTGAGTTAAGGTATGCAAACCATTTAAAATCTTTTAATTTAATTTAGTACAGCATTAATACGGGATTATCTAAAGAAATTTGGAAACTTAAAAAAGAACTTTTCGTTTGTTACTAAGTGGAAAATTATCAAGCGTTGCCAAACATATAATCCTTTATCCAAAATTTGCAACCTTTATCTTAATAAAAAATATTTTATTTTAACGCATACAGGGGGAAACCTGTTGAACAAAAGGAACAAGTTGGTTTCAAATTGTAGGCATAAAAATAAATTCCTTTTTTTGTTTTATGATACCAACGATTAGCTGATTTATATAATATTTTCTTTGAGGTTTTTTTGTTTTGTCTCTATAGAGACGTCAGACTGTATTTTGTAACTTTATTAACTCCACTGTATTTTGTAACTTTATTAACGGTTTTTTGTTTGTTTTTGATATAGTACTGATGATTTTTTTATACCTTTATATATATATTATATATATATAACCTTTTGATATTTACACCATGAACTGCTGGTACAAGGACAATATTTGTGGCGCTCTTCATCGCTGTTGTTTTAAGAACAGTGATGAATTAATCCAGCTGTTGCTTTCTTCATGCCATACAAGTTTCCTTTGTTTTGTTGTATGCTCATATCATAATAATTTTTTAATGTATTAATAACTTTATCATCCTTCCTGTCATCCTTCCTTTTCCAGTAAGTCTTTTGCCATCTTTTAAAATTTTTCCTTTGTAGGATACTTTAAGAGTGCGTAAACGCGATCTAACTCTTTTTCGTACATGGCTAATACATTCAATTTTTTTCAATTTTATACCCTGGATAAACATTCTTACTTACAATTTTCTGGTAAGACTTACTGTCACTATCACCACAGTATTTTGTATAGCACAGTTTGTTAAAAATTGTTGATCGTCTAAATATTTGAAGAGCTCCAGAAGCTTCCACGCACCTGCACTACCTTTTTGATTAATTGGGCAAATATGAGACTCTACCCAGTCAGTATATCCTGGTAAACTTTCATTTCTTTTCCAATACTGGCAACCTTTACAAACCTTTATGAGAGTTTGAGTGTCAACACATTTACCACTACTTATAGCTGTAACAATGCCATTGTTCCATCAACGCTTACTGTAACATTTTTAATATCAGGGTCACCAAAAGTAGACTTACGTACATTGTGCTTGTTCAGCTGCTCTTTTCATTGAATCTTGGGCAACTTTAGTATAACACAAATACATTTTATAGACAATGTTATTGTATGCTTTTTTTTGCATTGGTGGTGGACTTTTTATTATGTTGCAAAATGTTTCCATAGTAGCATGTCCTTTACCAATTTCTCTAAAGGTTATACACATTCTGATATTAATATCAAATGATTTCATGCCTTTTTTTTTTCTTCGTTATGATTTTTGATTTGTTTTGATGTAAAAAACTCATTCTCCCACTAACATTTTTTTTCAGTACAAGACAAAACAAGTTAATGCTAATACTAATAAAAAAATTTTTATGATTATTGTAATTATTTTTATTTCTGTCATTTTATTTTTATTATAATCACTGTACTTTTATCATTGTATTGTTATTACTGTTACAACTACAACTTTTATTATTATCTTTATTAGTATTTTTACTCCTTCAACTTTAAATGTTCGTTTTGTTACTTGCTGTGGATGTTTTGTTACTTGCTGTGGATGATTAATATTACTATTTGCATTAATCAATGTATTTATTAGCTTTTATTTACAAGGTTTTTACTTAAGATTAGTACATGTACTATTTGTAAACTTCTGTGAATGTAACAACTATTTCAGAATATATATGAATTGAATTGAATGAGTTTTAAGTTTCAAATGGATTTGCAAAACCATGTTTTAAGTTAGTATTTATAACTTCTTGTGATGAAAAGCGGAGAGCTCTTTACTAGAAAATGTAAAACATATTTAAAATCTGTTTTGCGAATGCTTAAACAAATTTCAAACTTTTCTTTACTATTATAAATTTTTGTCTGCTATTAGATTAATAAATACTTAAAAGAGTTTAGACCTAACTTTTGGTATGTTTTATTGACTGCATTGTTGATATGGTAGTTCCAGCTTCAAAATCAAATATATATCAAGATCTTTTACTATACATATATACTTAAGATCATTTTTGTTAACTTAGTGATATATATTTTACTTTTATATTTATTACACATCACTCATTAATACAAGACATCACAGGAGACACATGCCGTTGCATGCCCAATATGACAATGCATACAATATTTTAGTTTAATTTTTTTTTCTTTTTTTTTTTTTTTGTATTAATTTTTCTTCTCAGTTTATGGCTTGTTTATTTTTAATTTTAGTTTTAGTTTACATTTGTTAATTCAGCACATTTTTTAAGCGCTTAGATTTTCAAAACAAGCATGTCTTCTTTAATATAATATATAACTTGGCCATTTGCAAAGAACAAGTGGCCAAGTTATCAATTTTACATAAGGCATGTGACTGCACGAGTCTCCTGAGAAGGTTTGTTTATAGGATTATTTTTTCTAGTATGTATAACCTTGTACTTGCCATTGTGAAATTTTAATTAGGGGTACAAAGCTTGGTCCCAATTTTCCAGCATTTTTTTTTTGGATCCAAGCCAAGCAATAAACTTATATATAATCCGAGTACCCAGAAAAACTGCCAGAATAAAGAGATGACAAGTACCTGGCAGGTACCCGGAATACAAAAATTTTTCCTAGGTACATGAAACATAAATGCCAGGTTTCTGGTTGGATTATTCTACCCGTTTTTGAATAAACTATAAATGGTTTTTAAATATATTATATTTAATATTACATTTAATAACCATTTATTTAATTATTAGACTATTTAGTTCAGATCTTTCTTGTAAATTTATTGCTGCTATGATCTAGTAAAGATATTTTTTATCTGCATTTGCATTTGTATTTAGTGTTTAACATTATATCATTAATGAAAAATATAAAAATCATTGGTCCAAGTGCTCATCCCCAAAGGATACAACTATATTAGATTATATATTCAGTTCAGATATAATTTTTCTCTAAATACTATATGCTGTAACAAAACCATACAATACCATGTTGTTAAATTGAGATTAAATTATTGTTATTTAGATGTTTCATTACTCCATTTTTAATATATTAACATAAGATGTTAATAAGATGTATATCAAAGTTTTTGAAAATTTATAATTCGATTAACCTAATTTTTAGTTCTTTTACTGACTGTTTACTAAGTGACTAAAATTTGAGCTTGATTGACTGTATAAATAATGTGAAAGCCTCAACTTAAGTAACTTAATACATATACAGAAGGATTGTTAATTCAGTATCATATGTTTTATCTTCAAAACCATTTAACAAGTACTCAGTAAAGTGATAAGGTATATATATATTTTTTTATACCTTTATATATATATTATAAATAGATATAGGAGCAACCAAAAAAATAAACTGTTCTTCACCATAATAAAACCATAAACCAAAATAACTTACTTTCTAAATCTTTGTACAACTCTTGGTCAAGTGAATAAAGTGAAGTGTCAATTCGTAAGGGTTGGTAACATTCCTGACATAAAAAGCTTACATGTGTTGTATCTTTACTTCCATTCATAGATGTAACTAATTTATCAGATTTTTCAGATTTAGCCATTTTTCTAAAAAAAAAAATATCTGAGTTTAAAGCACATCTCAAAATCTGTTAAATACATCTTATAGCCTGCTGACACAAAGGAGTGCTGCTGTATTAAATGGGGGTTTGGCATGGCGAAACATTCTTTTTTTGATCTATTTCTTATTTAATTAGAAAAAGATGAAAAAAATGAAGAATAACAAAAAAGAAAAGATTGCTGCCCCATGCCAAATCTCAGTTGATATAGCAACATTCCTTTGCGACATCAGGCTACAAAGTAGTCAATGTATGCACTATATTTACTATGTATATATATATATATGCACATATATTAGGGTGACCATTATTCCTATTTTTAGGTAGGGGATCTCCTTCTTTTATGAGGGTCTTCAAATTTTACCAGATTATTGGTCCAGACATTCTTGTTCTTCTGAATGCTACTATCGCTAGGCTTGTACAACGCCATGTGTTGCTTTTGTAATAACTATAAAATTAGATGAGGAGCTATATATATAGTCTAAAATTTTCAAGAATGCTCCAAAATATTTTAAATTGTTCTAGAATGTTCCAAAATATTTTAAATTGTTCTAGAATATTCTAAATTATTACAGAATGTTTTAAATTGTTCTGAATGTTCTAAAGTCTTCTAAAATATTCTGTTATTTTCCAAAATGTTCCAAAGTTCTAAACACTTCTAATCTATACAAGTTTTAAATGATTTGCAGGAAAGCCACACATATTAGTAGTAGCAAGATTAAATATATGACGAATTGCAGGGTGACCTTTTTTTATAACCGAGAAGAATTGAACATGTTTTCAATGTTTTCTAATAAAAATTCATCGATTTATGATACAGGAAATAATTTCTTTTTTAAAAAGTCAAAAAGTCATAACCCTAATATACATATGTATGTGTGTATATATATATATATATATATATATATATATATATATATATATATATATATATATACATATGTATGTGCGTATATATATACATATGTAGGTGTGTATATATATACATATGTATGTGTGTGTGTATATATATATATATATATATATATATATATATATATATATATATATATATATATATATATATATATATATATATATATATATAATTATTATTATTATTATTATTAATATTTTCATATTTTGGGACTTCGACAACAACTGTCCCAAATTCACTGCCTATTTCATGAATTCCAAATTTTGCCTGTTTCATGAAAATTTGCTTATTTCATTGCAAACCATCATTTAATATCTAATTAAATAAGATGCACATGGAACAATTTTTTTGAAAATTGAAAACTTAAAATAGATATATGTTTCAACAATAACAGCTTATGAGTTGATTTGAAACATAAGCATAATATTGTATTAAGCCTTATTATTTGTCCATCTAAAATGGATAATGAAAGTTTCACTCACGGAACATTTCACAGAAATTTTGCTTCTACAGCTCTTGCAAAGATAAAACTTCTATATTACTGTCCAAATTTATTTGCTAAGAAAACTATAGTAAATACAAAAAAAAAAAACATCAACAATTTCTATTCTTTGGAAAAAAAGTAATGCGGAAGATTTAAACTTACATCTGCTATTATCTTGCCAAGAATTGCATATTTTGATATATTTAAACAAAAATTGTTTCAAAACTTAAACAAGTCTGGTATTGTGCGTTAAATTTTAAAAATCACAAAACTTGTTTTGAATAAAATAATTATATTTTTTCAAAACACAAAACCCCCAATAATTACTGAGTGTAATATTTATAGAAAGGTTCTTGATAAATATAAAAAAATAAGGGTAATTTAAAGCAAATGTAGATCAATTCAAATATCTGTCAATAAGATCATAAAGTCATTTAAAAACATTTTTCATAATAATAATAATTATTATAAAAAATGTTTTCAAATGAAAGAAAACTGCAAAAGTATTTTTAAGATAAATAATAAATTTGTTTAAATTATTTTTTTCATTCTTTCTTGAAGATACATTAAAAAAATATTTTTTTAAAGTTAGAAATGCATTATTGTTTTATATAATTAAAACTTTTTTAATGAAAATTTTATAAAAACTTTAAACTCAAAACTTAAAAGTCTGACATGTTTTACAAGTCTCGCGTATTTGCTATTTAAATAAAATCTTTAAAAAGTTAAATGGTTAACAAACAATTGATTTATGTTGTAAATATATTTGTTCGTATTAACACACACAGTTTTTCATAACAATGCCATAATTAAAAATATATTATTATTTTTCTGAAAAAATCATATGCTAGTTGTGTTAAGTATACAAAGTATAAAATAGTCAATTTGATTATGACAAGGTAAGTATGTACTCAGAGAGTACATTAAGACTATAATTTTCATTTCATTTTGTTCCAAGTTTGTTACATCTTCTCCAGTTTTCAATGCATCCTCAACTAAACCTTCTCATCTAGATAATGAGGTAGTCAGATCAGCAGAAGATGTTATTAAGGTGAAATTTGTTAAATAAATTTTATATGATTATATATTTAATTATATCTATTTAATAACATAAATTAACAACAAATTTTATACTAACAAAACCCATCTTAACATCATTTCTTACTTTTCATTTCATATTCAATTTCCAGAAAAAAAATTAAACATGTTAAAAATGCTTGCTTCAAAAAAAACTATTTAGTTTTTAATAAAGCCTTTTTTTTCATAGAGTTACCTAAATAGTTTGTGCGTTTGTAAAATATAGTATTGACACTAGCTTAAGCCATTTTATGTTGGCTTTTTAGTTTGTGCGTTTGTAAGATATACTTTTGGCATTTTATTTTCAAAATTATTATACTTTATAAAAATTACTCATTTTTGCACAATGTAATTTATTTTTTAATTTGAAAAAATGAAATTTGTACTTAATTTAAGATCAAATTGAAACTTAATCTTAAATTAAGATAATAATAAAAGTAATAAATAAATAAACTTGAAACCAAAATAGTTTTTTTTTTGTTATTGTTATCATTGTCCTGTTTAAATCGCCAGTTCGGGCGTTATTCTAAACCGTTAAAATGAAAGTTTTTTATCATCCACTAATCTCTATAACAACTATTATTATAAAAACTATTATTATATATACTAATCTCTATAACAACTATTATTATAATAACTATTATTATATATAGGTTATTATAGAGATCAATGATATCATTCCTTCTTTACAATCTATATTATAGATTCTAACTAAGAAATCGCTTATAAATTACGTCACGCTTTTGGGGGAGGAGGAATATAAGCGAACTTGTTATTAAAGAGTTACGATTTGTGACGAGGGGGTGTAAAACGGTCAAAAATCGCTGACGTAATTTGTAGACAACCCCTAAGGTGATAATTCACCTTAGTTATAGAATCAGAGGGAATTTTAGAGAGAGGGAGTGGCCTCCCCTTTTCCCCAAAGAATTTGATTTTTAGTTATAGTCGTTTTTGTCGGCTAGTCGGGTAATTGACACAAATTTGTCGGATGAGTTTTAGGTTGAGGACCGTGTTTTATAAGACTCGGTCCTCAACCTAAAACTCATCCGACAAATTTGTGTCAATTACCCGACTAATATAAATAACCTGACTCTTTAAATTTTAATTACCCGAATAATATAAATAACCTGACTCTTTAAATTTCGTAATTAAAACTTCATTGATTGTTTTTCCAATAAGTTCGTTTTGTGCGGTTTTAGATATATAGGTTGCATTTTTAGGAGCAGAACGAATATTGTGCTTAAGAACTTTAACACCTGCTTCAATACGAAAATTACCAATATACCAATGTTGTATTTACATGTTTCTTGATCTCTGGATGATACTTACTGTCATCACAATGACGCAATATCGTTGCGGCCGAGAAAAATAATTGTCTTTATAATTGGAATTAATTTATTTCAATTACTTATAATAAGTTTTTTTCTAAGATTATCGATGTCAACTTTAATCAGATTAATTAGATCTAGATTGCAGCATGTTAAGACAATGACATTTGATAAAGTTGACAATTATTATTAATCCATATAAGCACAAGTTGCATTACCCCATATTGTTAAAGGTTTTGCAATAAATTTGATTATTAAGGTATTGTTTGGAATACTGCTACCCAACAGTTTACATGGAAGGCATTATGCTCCATCTTTAATCTGTGAGTAGGCTAACCAGGAATATTCTAGAAGCCATTTATGTATAAATGATCGTTTCTTTTTTTCACCAGAAACAGGAAAAATAAAAGAAGTTAGGAATAAGTATTTTATTAACTAGATCTAATAAAATTAAATCATCTTTGCCAGCATATATATGTCTACTGCGCTCATAGTAAGTAGAAATATCATAAAAAGGAAGGCTTGAAGACTGATTTGATGTACAAGGAATACAATTAAGTAAGATTGGATTAGGAGTAATATCAATATTTAAATCTATTCTTTTAATTTCATTATGTATGCACAACTTTATGTGAGATTGAGCTAATGATTTTTTATTTAAATAGATTTTTAGGAGTTTGGCAAGATAGTTAAGAACCTTAGTGGTAACAGAAGAATGCGATAGAACACTTGGCAAAACTGAACACGACCCTCTTTTTAAATCAATTTTGACAAATTTCTTTGAGCATAAAAGTTCTCTTTTCACAATAGGGACAAAATGATTTGGTGACCACATATCTTTATCCTTGGAAATAGAGCAACAACCTGTGTTACACCATAAAATACTCAGAGTTACTGCATTTGTTTTATAAACACCACGTGGGTATATACTTATATTAAATAACTTTTTATATTCAAGATAAATAGACTGAATTTGTTTATTTAACACTGTAGATAATGCAACTAAACAAAGAAAAGAAGCAAATTTATTCAAAGTTATTATTATATTCTGCAATTGTTATAGGCTTTTTTTTTATAAGTTCAGAAATTTTTATGTCATTTAGTTCTGTAAAAGAATCAGAAGACTCAAATGAATCACTTGCCATAAAAACACTAGAGAGTGAAGAAAAACTTTTAAATTCTACTTGGTTTAAGATTATCTTGAATAAAAGTTTGCTTTCTCAAACAACTCAGCAGAAGTTAAAATCGATGAATTTCATGTGTTTTATCTGATGAATTTATCAATATCAATTTATCAAAGCAGAGTTGTAAAGACAGTTACTATTTTCCATTGACCTGTAAAGTCATAACATATAATATGACATATTATATGTTATGACTTGACAGTTATAGTTAGTTTATATATGTCATATATAAACTAAATATAACTAAAAAAACTATATTTAACTAAAGATTTGTCACGAATTATTGTTTTATAAACAAACTAAAACATAAAAAACGTGTTTAAACTGCTTCTTTAAAACAATAAGGTCTTCATTTTCTTTTTGCATAGGAATAAAAGCTTCCATTTTAGAATTTCTTAAAGAAAGAAGATTTTTTAATTCTTTGAGATTATTACGAAGCTTTGCTTTGTAAGTCGTGATATTAGGCAAATGCTTGGCTTTAATGGCATTGGATAGCAACAAATCCATAACTGCAAACAAAAATAAAGTTTGTATTAAAATTACTTTATACTAATTTTTGATAAACTTCGAATACTTAAGGCTTTATCCGAATAATTAAGGCGTTATTAGAATAATTAAGGATTTATTTTTATATATAAACGGAACCGAGAGAACTTTTGATCAAACGTTCCTGTTACTTTTTTTTTGTTGTCAACAGAAAACTTAGATCAAATGAATCTTGAAACAAAGGGATTTTTTGGCCTTAATTCCGCCAACCAAAATAAATACATTGCAATAACGATTAATTTAAAGGGTTCTTTCGGTTACGTTTACTTTCCTGATTAATAGCGGTATTTTGAAATATGACGGAGGAGAGCTAAGTCTTTGAAACATTGTTATAGCCGTGTATGTTTTTCTATGAAGGAAATAATTATTTTTTTTAAGAACTCATATACACATTAGTATACTATAAATTTAAGTTTAACATTTTTTATATTATGAAATGAAATTTTTTACATTTTCTTAGAATATTTTGGGTGAATCCTGGGCAACACAGGGTACCCCCTATATCCGTCCCTGCTATTAACAAACCACAATATTTACCATTAACAGCTGCTAAAATATAGTTTTAAAAATTACAAATTTAAAACTATTAAAATGCAAGCCATGCAAGTCGTCATAAAAATTTCTAGAGCTTTTCGCAATAACCTGCAATTGCCGGCACGGGTCTTATTGGCCATAGCAATCCAGTCATTGCACCCTACTTGGACGCCATCAACAAGATGTACATTACCTGTAGTGCTCAAAGTTTACATTAGATTTGTGTGTTTGCAGTTTCATCGGTTATTAAGATTAAAGTTTACTTTGGAAAAGTTGAAACTTCGTACGTACTTTTTTTAGTTTAAGTTCTGCCCAATAGAAGATCCTCACTGAAACAAAAGCTTATTTCACTACATAGATTTTTTATGACAAGATGAAGCTCTTGTATTGAAGCTATCAAATAACTTGCCAAGAGACGAAGAAAAGTGT